AGGGAAAATAGGAGATATGATGATGGAAATAGGTTGAGAGTGATGCAAGGAAGGGGTCATAAGCCAAGAAATGCAGGTGGCCTCTGGAAACTAAAAGAGGCAAGGAAAACAGAATCCCTCCTAGAGCCCTCAGAAGGAACCAGCGCTGCCACCATCTTGATTTTAGTTCCATGAAACTAATTTCAAACTCTGACCTCCAGAACTGTAAGTGAATAAATCTGCATTGTTTTAACCTACTAAATTTGTGGTAATTTCTTTTTGTGACCATAAGGAACTAATAGAACTCCCAGCTCTGCCATTGATAAGTCATATATTCTTGGCCAAGTCACTTAACTCTGTCAATGTTTTTGTTTCTCTTAGGTAAAGAGAATGGATTTAACATTGCCTATATTACAGATCATTCAAGCCTGTTGTGAGGAAATTCGTAAAGTTGTACCTGAAATAAATGCTTTGGGCTTTTACAACAGAGATATCATCATGAAAAATGGAGGGCCAAAGACCAAATGAGAAATTTGTTGTTAGACCCCCAACACCAGTTAAAAATGTGGTGCAAATTTTTAGATACTTCATGGATTTTAGACTGCCACATTTTATTTTGATCTGAAGGAAATTCCAGAGCTATTACTAAGGCAATCAATTAGACTCTCATTTAAGAGTTCTATTTTATTTTTCTGCTTAAAAGCAACCAAAATGTTCTCTTCTTTACATTTCCCACCACCATATGCCCTTACTCTGCTGATCTATTTCAGAACAGAGAGCCTGTCTCATTGCTTACAAAACCCTTGGGGCTCGAATCTATGTGAAGAATGCACAATAATTCCTGAACAAACTATCAGATGGGACTGTTAACAGCTTCCTAGTTTGAAGGAAACCAGTTGTCTTATGTTTTCACTTTTGCTTTAGAAATGAGTTATTTTTTACTTGCTATCTTGATAAGTCTCTAAAAGGCACAATGATTTCATTTGCTTTTTAAGCTTTTAGTAATAATATTTTACTTGCAAATATTCTTTAAATCATAAGATTTTTGAAAATCAGTTGTTGTTTTTTAGTTATTGTAAGCTGGACGTGCTATTAAATCACCTAAACCAAGAGTGGGCTGAGTACAATGAATGGTGAACTAATGCTTGGAGTATTAACCCACATGATAACATATTTCACTCATTTCATGGATTTGCACTCTCTTGCAATTCACAGAAGTTATTATGAAATAAACTGTGACCATGTTCACATGTTCATGTTCTCTCATATATTTCACTAAGCAGGCAATTTTAGATACTAGGGCCCTAGAAAATACCATTACAGTGATTGCACATAAATATGTATAGACCTTTCTTTGTGATAGTTAATGTGTTTACAAGAACAGTCCATTTTAACAGTCCAGAGTATATATCTAATTCACTTTGTTTATATGTTTTGTGTATATAACTCTAAATTCTTTTTTTCAACAAAATGACATGAAGTGACACATGAGGTATAGCTTGTGAGTTACATATAGAACTTAGAGGTTTTAAGATTAGCCCCACTGAAGTTTGGGAATCCTGAGTGGCCTTGATGGAATGGTGGTCCTCTTTTGAAAAGAACATAGATAATTGGTTAACTCTTTTTTAGGGAAGTCTGTGATGCATGTTCATCTTGGCTGCCTAGAATTCATTTTCTAGGAGGCTACGGAGGAGGTATCAATGATTAAATTTCATGGGGTTACTAGTAATTAGAGAGTTTCCGGCCATGTGGTATAGTGGAAAATATACTGGATTTGGAGTAGAAAGTTCAGAGGTTGAGTTTTAGTTCCACCATTCATAGCTATCTTATAGTTTCCCTAGTTTCTGTGAACCTTGGTGACCTCAACTAAAAAATGAATATACTAATACTTGTTCTACCTATTCCATTAGGTTATTGTAATGAATGAGTGAATATATATTCATTTATCAAGTATATTTTGAACATTTTCTATGTGCTTGGTTCTGTATTAGGCCCCGGGGATTCTGCAGTGAACACGACTGACATAACTCCTACTTTCATTAATCTTACATTCTGATGGAAAAATTAGCAAACACATAAATAAATATGTAATTACAACTTGTGATAAGTGCCATGAAGGAAGAAACAGGGTGTAGCATGAGAGCTTAACAAGAGACTTACTTTAGGTAGTGTGGTCAGGGAAGGTCCCACTGTGAAGGTGATAATTAAGCTTAGTCCTGAAGGAAAAAAGGAAGAACCTGGTAGATGACATGCAAGAAAAAGAACATTTCAGGCAGAGGAATAGCAACTGCAAAGACCGAGAGGAGGAAATGAGCTTGGCATACTTGAGGAATACAGACAATCCCTGGTGTAGCTGGAACAAATTGAAAAATTTGAAATAAAAATGGAGTAGAAGTCAGAAGATAGAACAAATAGAGCCTTGATAGTACAATGGCAAACTTTATGAACTCTAAAATCTTCTGTAAGTTTAAAGTGGTGATAGCATTGGTGGCACCACTATTATCAACATAATATCCCTGAGTTCTTTCATCCCTGTAATATGTGGTCTTAAGTGACTCAACATGTGAAGATAAGCCTGTGGATTCCTGTATTTGTACTTAGAGCTAAATGGGATGAAAACCAGATTTCTCTCACTTGCCTTAAGATCAAAAGTATGCTAGGTGTCTTCCGTGATTACTTTTCCCCAAATGAGATTATTGGTTCCTTGGAGTTCCTAATTAGTTCATACTAGGTTGAAGAGTTTTAGCTGTTTGTAACATCAACAGTTTCATTCATGTAAAATGAGTAGAGAATTCTTCTATCGAGACTGGCCACTAGAAGGTACACGTCTTTACATAACGCTTTTCAGGTAAAGCAAGGGCTTACTTTTCCAACTAGTTTCTGGAGGAGATAGAGATTCAGGGAGAACTGCACATCCCTTAACCTACCTGGATTATCTGGTTGTTAAAATGGAAGACTTCTTGGGACAACAACATAGCAGAGTAGGAAGTGTCCTTAGAAACTAGCTATTTCATATTCCTTGTTATATATATAAAGAACTGTAGCTCAGGGACTAGACTCCAGGTCACCTGACTCCCAGGTCAGTGCTTTTTAGAACAATGTGTTCATATGTTGAAGTAAGGCAAATATGTTCCCTAGTTGGTGGTCTGTGGCTCTTCAGGGAGAGAAGCCAGAAAAAGCATGTTGTATTGCCCTTGGAAAATTTTCAAGTAGAAATAGGTTTAAATATTGTTTTAGTAGAAGCCTGTGAACACAAGCATTGTTCACTCTTAATCTTTTACGAAAATAGATTTCTGCCAACAAGAATAATACATTTCACCAGACATATCTAAAAAGATGGACTTGCAGATGAAGTTTTATTTGTAAATTCCGAGTCAAGCAAATACTTATCACTCCTAACTCCTTTTGTCATTTAAAACAGCTGTGAAGAACAGTGTCTTTTTTTAAGTGAGGAGAGTTGAATTTCATTTTGTGTATATTATTAGCCTTTGACGGTATCAGTATCTATCATTTGTCATTTTTAGAACAGAAAAATTAGGTTATAGTTTTGGACACTTCCTTTTAATAATCTTTTCTATCTGAACCTAAGGATCTAAACAAAGTAGTAAACTGTATTATGGGATTTTTCCTCTGTTGGAAAGCAGTCAACTTGTTGCTATAGCTGATTAGAAGGGGGATTCCTAACTCTTAACAACTGCTAGTAGTTATCAATTTAACTGAATTGCTATCTGTTAAATGGTGATTGTGTTGCCAACTTTTGTGAAGGACTAGTCAAATTTTTGCTGAAAAGTTATAGTTAAGTTCAAAAGAGATTATCCAATATGTGCAAGATTAAGGTGTGCTAGCAGTTTTCAAAATGACTCATCATTTAAGTATTTGAATAACATTGTGATATTATATATATATATATATATATATATATGTATATGTATATATATATTTGGTCTGTCTCTGGTTCCTGGCACAGAACTCCTAAAACCTTTGGAGTATCCTTAGAGATAGGAGTGCCTTTTGTTATTCATAATGCCGTCTTTCAACCACACCTGAGTTTATGCTAATTAGGTGGCTCTTGGCAGTGTGGGGCCTCTAGATAGCTTCCAGGATTGGGGGGCTGGTCTCCAGAGACACCAACCAATAGATTAGAGGGTTGGAATATTTACACCCCACAACCCCGGGGAGGGGAGAAGGTCTGGAGATTGAATTCAGTCACCAATGGTCAATGATTTAATCAATCATGCCTACATAAAACCTCCATTAAAAACTCCTAAATGACAGGGTCTGGGGAGCTTCCAAGTTTTTGAATACTATATTCACATTCCAGGGGATGGTTCACCTTGACTCCACAGGGACAGAGGCTCCTGTGTGTGGGACCCTTCCAACCCTCACCCTATTTACCTATTCAACTGGTTGCTTATTTGTATCCTTTATAATAAACTATAATAGGAAGTAGAGCACATTCCTGAGTTCTATGGGTTGTTCTAGTGAATTATCGATGCTGAAGGGGGCTTGTGGGAGCTTGAATTTGTAGTTGGCCAGGCAGAAGTGTGAGTCACCTGGGAACTCTACTTGTGGTTGGCATATGAATTGAGGGCAGTCTTGTGGGACTGAGCCCTCTAATTTGTGGGATCTCATCTAACTACAGGTAGTGTCAGAACTGTATTGATGGATACCCAGTTGGTGTTGGAGAATTGGTTGTTGGTATAGAAAAATGACATGTAGTTGTTAGAAAAACCACACAATCATGTTGGTCAGTTTGTTTTGAGGTTAGAATGTGAATATTTGCCATTTAAATTCCAAGAGTTATTTTTTGATTCTGGTTTCATAACCTTATCAGCTTCCTTAGGTTATAGCAGTAATATCTCTATGAGAACATTTTGGAGCCTTATACTATATGGAACTCAGTCAGATAAAGACTAATGCCAAGTTGATAGAAGGACCCTGGTTGTAAAAATGGCTGCTTTGGGTACAAGACTGCAGTAGCAATATTCTCTGGGCACGAGCAAATGAAATTAAATGAGACAATGTATGTGGTACTTAGCATAATAATCTGCCACAAAGTAGATGGTAAGTATATTACATATATGTTCATATATATGTGTATATATATATGTATGCATCTATCTATCTATCTATCTATCTATCTATATATATGATTAAAAATGATTAGATTAAACAATTTAGGAGATACAAACTTTAACACTTCATGAAGCAGGCAGTCTCTATTCAAAGAACTGCAAAATGGGACAGAGGGCAGGAAACTTTTATAAGATAAAGAATAATGAACAAGGAAGAGAAAAATAGAAAATACCTAATTGGTTGGGACCACATAGTCAACCTTGTTTGGGGTAAGAAGGCCCAGGGTTGGCTTGGCGTTTGGAGATTGGCTGACTCGATATACTGCATTTTGGTCAAATGGAATATTTACAGGGACATGAAAATTATCTAAGTTTGCATTTGCTCACACGGCACCCTGGGCAGGAGCAGCTCCATCTTGTGTCTAGAAATTTATTTCAACTATACAGTTGACCCTTGAACAGCAAGTTTTGGAACTGCACAGACCCATTTATAGATGGATTTTTTCAATAAATATAGTCTCTGTTTTTTTCATTTTACAGATCTTTAAGTTAACTAAGTTTGGGAAAAGTTAGTATTTAATTAGAGATCACAATGTGTGGAATCACAAGAACTAGGGTTTGAGTCCTGATTCTATCCAAACTGTTTCAGCTTCCTGCCGGTGGGTGAGTCATTTATCAATCAATTTTTTTTGAGGCAGAGATTTCCCCTGCTGTACGGGGATTTTTGACTGTGTTGGGGGGCAACACCCATAACTCTCACCTTCTGCAAGGGTCAACTGTGTGTGTGTGTGTGTGCACATGCATGCACACACACACACAGACACACACAGAGTAAAAATAGTGATAGTAATACCTAACTTCCTTGGCTGCTATAAAGTTTAAGTGAGATAAAATGTTTAGCACAGTGCTTAAAACAGTAACTGTTCAGTGTTATTTGATATTATTGTTTTTATTATTTTTAATTGTTATTATTTTATTAGTTATTATTTATTTTTATTATTTTTACTATTGCTATTATTATTGTTATTATTTTAGGTATACCTGGATATATTCATATTGTCCCTAAACTTCTTTACTAGGTTCAACACTGTATACAAGTCATTTAATTCCTTCTGAAACCCAGTTAATAAAATGGGGGTAATAGTACATATACATCACATAATCATTGTGATGACTAAACAGGATGAAGCTCTTAATGTAGTGTTTTGCATACCGTTACGTATTCAGCAAATAGTAGTGATGATGATGATGATGATGATAAAGAAGATGATGTCTCCTGCCCTCTGGAAAATAAGTGTAGGCTAGCTGTCGCCTTTCCGAACAGTAAGACTTTTACTGCTTCACTGATACTCTCCCAGAACTCTATTTCCTATTACTAAATTAAGACTTTCAACATGCATACCCATCTCTCTCTCTGTTCTCATGCCTTTCCCAGAGCTCTCATATCTGCAGTGTTTTTTGTGTCCCAACGGCAACTTTTTATTTGTGAAAGCACTCTCGGCATGGATTAGCTTACTCTTTTGGAGATCCAGCTAAAAACTGTAATGAACACTGCGTATTGTAAAATAATGGCCCAGTATTTGATTCTTCTTTAGACATTCAGGGTCAAATCCTCAAAATGCCTATGAACCAGGATCTGACCCTGCACTTGTCTGACTCATCTCATTTACCTCCCCACAATCCTGGCCCTGTCAGATCATGTCTTATTTAAAATTTTGATATTTTGTTCATTATCTATATTTGCATTAATTTTTATTTTAAAATGTCTTTAACATGTTATCTATCTTGATTACTGAGCTTTTATGTGACCCTCAAATTTTCAGTTGAAGTGAGTACCTCACTTCCTTCACCCTAGTCCAGGCTTGTTCGAAACAACTGGAGAATATCATACAACAATAGAAACACGTGATAGTGGGAGTCAGCTTTTTCAGAGTATAAATATGGAAATCTACCGTAATATTAATTAAATTTTTACTATCCTTTGGCTGAGAAAATAAATAATAACAAAAACTACTATACCACTTTCTATGGGGATATATGTATAGCTGATTCACTTTGTTATAAAGCAGAAACTAACACACCATTGTAAAACAATTATACTCCAATAAAGATGTTAAGATTTCAAAAAAATACCATAAATTTGCTAACACTTTGACATGAATTTGTATTTTAATTTACACAACAGTATCTATACATATTAGAAAAGAGTTGTATGTTTTAGTGCAAAATTTATTCTTTTAGTCTCTAGAAAATGCTTTGTGTACTTAGAGATTTGTCGGCTTTTTGCAATAACTGTTCTTCCCTCTCCCTCCCCCTTCCCACAGTGATCTCTGGACCACAGATCAAAAACTACTGCTATAAGAATTCAGATCTAAGAAAAATCAGTGTGCCTAAATATATATTCTAGGGAAGGTAAGGCTTGAGTTTGAAGAATGAGTAGGACAAAAGGAGGAGATGGGTGTGGAAAGACTTTCTATTTATTGAGTGCCTTTGGGGATCCAGGCTCAAAGCCAGGCACTTTATATTCCTCTTCTCATTTAGCCCTTACATCTCTAGGAAGTAGGTGTATTATGCTCATTTTACATATAGGAAAACTGAGTCTCAAAGTGCTTGAATAACTTGGCCTAGGTCTTACAGCCAGTAAATTTGCAGAGCCAGTATCCATACCCAGCATTTTATGTTATCGTTAATCTAATAAGAAGGGCAGAAGTCAGCAACTGTTAATGCTGGTGAAGAAAGTGTGAATTTGAACTGGTAAGCCTGGAGGCCATAGAAATTATAGCAGTTGTACTTTCTCAGTGGACAGACCCATCTTAATTACCTCAATGTTTTTGAATATCCTGTTGAGAAAGCTTATGTTGTTTCTAGACTATCATTCAACAGATTATTTCATCTTTGGCTTTACTATTAATGTTTAAATCTACTGCCTGGACTCATTCTATGGTCCAGAATAATCTATTTTCAACAGGCCATCTGAAGCAGGGCATAAAAACATCAGTGGTCCTGTCATTGACTCTCTAAATTCCTCAAATTGCACGTGAAGAAGTAGCTTCCCATTACAAATAGGTTGCACCAAAGTAGAAATACCTTAACTTGCTCACTTGCTGAAAATAATAAAGCAAGAAGTATAAAATCAATTCTGCATTATTCATGAGGGAATGGTTTTCCTTACTTTCTCTTTAGTTGTCTTTGATTAATTTTGCAAAGTGCATTTGTGAATAGTTCACTGAAACTTTTATTTTTAAGATTTCAATGATTCTTTTCTTCCAATGTTGTTCTGATTATTTTACATCCAAAGATAGCCAGTAGATGTGATTGTTGATTACATTATTTTAAGATTTCTGTTACAGCAAAATGTTCTTCATTGAGTTTTTTTTCCCTATAACATGGAAGAACTTTCTTCTATTGTCAGAGGATACAAGACATTTAACATAGTAATAGACTTTATGGAAATTTCAAAATTTTTAGATGAGATGTAATTGGAATTACTCATCATTTTATCTCCCCCATCCTGTCTCCCTCTAAAATTATTAAACATTTCTGGATCTTGAGGCACACAAATACTTGATCATGACTGTAAAACTTGGTGGTAGAAGTTTGCCAGGCATGTTTTAGTATCATGAAGGATTTTAATTCTGGGCTTTAGACTGTGTCCTTTTTCCCTACCTTTAAAATTTGTGCATCAGTGTCTTTGCCTCATGCCAGTAGTTACTGAAGATATTTATGAGCTGGCAAGTAGTCATGAAACACTTGGGTTTCCACAGGCTGCATAAGTTCAAATCCCATGTAGTAGTTTAAACCACCATTTACTGGCAGTTGTCTTGAGTAGGTTACTCAACTTTTCCCTTCAGAGACTCTGTTCCTTTATCTGTCAAATAAATATAATAATATCAACCTTACAGATTTCTTTTGAAGATTAAGAGAAAAGGTGATATGCTTCACACTGTGCCTAGTGCATAGTGGATACAATAAAATGTAAGGGATGATGATGATGTTTAACTTTAGCAAAGTAAACATGTGTTTATGAGCTTAAGGGTTTGGGATCTAGTATGCCTGTCAGAGACCACCTACCAAGCTGTCTCAGAAACGTAGTTGTCCTTATCCTTTGGGAAGTTTAAAGGAGTTTCTTCCCATTTAGGTCACCACAGAGCATTGAGTAGAGTTCCCTGTGCTGTACAGTCAGCTCTTACTAGTTATATATTTTATTCATGGTATCAATAGTGTATATATGTCAATCCCAATCTCCCAATCCATCCCAACCCCCTCCTTCACCCCTTGGTATCCATACATCTGTTCTTTATGTCTGTGTCTCTATTTCTGCAAAGAAAAAGGAGTTTCTAATTTAAAAAACCCAGATCTTGGAAGAATGGGGCAAAGAGGACAGAGGGAAAGAGGTCAGAGAATTTATCTTTTTAATGCTTGGGGTTCCTAGGTAGTTGGGTATCTCTGAAAGGCTGAAGTGGAAATAAGGAGAAGGAGAGAAATAGTGCCTCAAGCAAACTGAGAAGCAGTAGTTCAGTTTCTTATATATGATTTACACACTGCTCACTTGCACCTAGAGGGGTGTTTTTTAATGCAGATCCCTGGGCCATGTCTAGAACTCCTGAATTATATTCCAAGTCACATTAAGGTTTGAAAATCCATTAGTACAGAGAAATCAGATTGATCTGGGTTCAGATCTCTATTTTGTCACTTATTAACTGTACTCATGGCTTCCATCCTTCTCAAGTGTCCCTGCCATCTCGGCTCTTAGCTCCCTCTCTCCCTTATTTTCCCCTTGTTATTTTATAACCTACACCAACCACACAAACTCACTTAGGCAGTTGTGCACTAGCCATCTTTTTCCCTGAGACCACTGAGATGTTATCACTTGACTAATCCTTACTGAACTTGTACAATTTTCTAGCTAACAACTATTTTTTATTTGTTTATTTCTCATTCTCAATCGTTGGTCCTGACATGGCTGACAGTCCTCCTTTCTAGTTTCTATGTGGTTTGAGTTACTACCCTGACCAATCAGATGCTGAGTATTTTTTAGTTTTCTATTAGTCTACCCAATTTACAGGCTTTATAGCAAACTTAACTCAAGAGCACAGACTCTGATGTAAAACTTCAGTTTATAAAAGCTAAAGACCCTATCACCACTTCCTTGTACCCCAGTGCTGATAATGTCCCATAGCTTGTTCAATAGAAAAGAGCACATCTGCTGGGTATGGGGGAAATGGAGCAGGAGGCTGCATTTGAACTGGATCTCAAAAACTAAGCAATATTTTCATTATCAGAGAAAGAGAAAGATCATTCCTGAGAGAGGCAACAGTAAGAGCAAAGATATGACTAGGGGACTGGTGAGTGACTCAATGTTAGTTGTTCAATAAACATGTCATTGTTTCTCACAGTGTATATGGGGATCACCTGCTTCAGAAATCTCACAGGATGCTTGTTCAAAATTTCATTCATGGATGCTGTAAACCTATTGAATTAGAATCTATGGGAATATGACTCAAGAAGCTGCATTTTGAGCAACAGGTACAGCGTCAAAAAGCAACAAGTAGCTATGTATAACTAAGACTACAGAGCTGAGGACCTGGGAAGACAAAGCCAGGTCTTTTTTAAAGGGCTAAAAACTACATAATTTGGAGAGTGAATACTGACTTTCTGAAAGAAGTGGCAGTGTTTGAAATTAGTCTCAGTCCATGGAACCAACCGAGATATAATACATAGGATTTTAGGAGAAAAGGAAGGAAACTGATCTGAAGTCCAGTAAGTTTTGTGGTTGTATGTGTGTGTGTGTGTGTGTGTGTGTGTGTGTGTGTGTGTGTGAGAGAGAGAGAGAGAGAGAGAGAGAGAAAGAGAGAGAGAGAGAGAGAGAGAATAGGATAATAGTGCAAAGAATTACTGATATGGCTTTGAAGTATGAGGGAACCTATAGTAAGAAAGCAGACACAGCCTGGAGACTTTGAGACCATGGGGATTAGATAGACTTAAGTGAGGAGTATGATAGTGAAAGAAAAGTTGGGTGATTATATTGAGTTACATCTTTATTTGATTATATTTACAAAGTTCTTTCACATACATTTGCAGTAATACTCATGATAACTTATAAGTGTAAGCACCCATGTTACTCTATTGGACATTAGGAAGCAGAGGCCCAGAAATTTAAGTGACTTGCTTATGATTACATATCTAGTAGGTAGAATAGACGCATTTTTAAACAAGCTTTCTGACTCAAAGTCCAGTATTATTGCCAATACACCAATACTGCCTCTCTCACCTCTGTATATAATAATAACTTCAGTAATAACAATAACTTAACATTAATTGAA